CGAGCCTCAATGATAATACCTCGGTTGATGATGGTAAACCGAATAGTATCTACGGCGACAGTGTCCGCCAGGCAACCAGGGATGCGTTTATCCCGTTGCAGGACCTGTCGCCCAGGAGCAGCAGCGCTAGCGGGAGTGCGGCGACTATTTCCAACGATGTCAGAGGCATTGGGTATCTGGACAGCATGGCGGCGGTGTTTGGCGAGAATGCCGATGGCCAGTACGCTGACCAGCAGATGAGCCCTTCGTCTCTGGAGAATAATTCAGCGGCGACCGGTCGTGATCTTTTCTTCCCTGCCGAGTGCAGTGTTGAGCGTGCTGCAAAGCAGGGGTGAACGGTACTTTTACACGGTGGGTAGGGAAGTAGGGTGGTGTTTTTGACGGCTCTTCGGTAGGTGCTATTGAGCCTGGCGGCGGTGACAGCGCTGCCAGGTATGCGGTTGGGGACGACGGCCGCATGTCGATAGTCCAGAGGCAAGGGACGGTTGTCCGGGAGCAGCAGCAGCAGTCGTTTGGGAGCAGCAACGGCAACAGTATGAGCAATAGAACAATGCCTCGCATGATGCAGGACATGGAAAGAGGCTGCAGAAGAGGCGCTCTTGTTTCTGCATCTGCTTCGGCTGATGCGAGGAAAAGAAACCACGAGATTGCCCTCCAATCAGCAGCAGATCTGCAGCGCGAGCTTTTCCCACACGGCGTGCCCAGCCAAGGCACACTAAAATCCGGCGTGCGGCATATTTCAGCCGACATCAAGTTCCGCGCCATCGGGTGTGAGCGCCGCCCCTGGCACGGGTTCATCATTGACGATGTGCTTTTCGTGTATGTGTCTGAGTTTGTCGCTAGCGAGGGGAGCTTTCGCACGGCGGTTATGGCGCTGATGGAGCTTGCTGAGGATGTCCTGGGCTGTGCGTCGGTTATTTGCGCTCTGCCTAAGGCGCTGAGCACGGTGAGTGGTGGGCCGGTGGATACGGCGGCGGCGGCGACGCTTGTGCGCGCTTCATGTACTCCGGCTTCGAGCTGGTGTCGCAGATGCTGTACCAGCCCAGCCCAGCATACGTTTTGGTCGGCTACGACGCCATGTGAGAAGGAAAGGAAAACGGAAATTAAGAGGTTCTTTTTTACGTTTACCTCAGTGCAATTAGTAATAGGCATCTTCAGTCTCATTCTTTAACTTTTCTATGGGGGAAATCGATAATCCGCTGCCAAGTGCCTAAGAGTAATGCCGCCTTTGTCCTACCTTTTGAAAAAGATGTTAAAGAATTGTCAACGCACACAACCTACCTTTTAACAAAAAGCAAAAGTAAATGCGTAAACACGCTTTCAGAGGTTTCTCAATGGTTGGGGATTTGTTAGTGTGGTTTTCAATATCACTATCACTGCTTTAATTTTAAAATGATAAAAAAGAACATAAACAACATTTAATGTTTTGAACAAACTCTAGGCGTATCGAGTGTTTGATTTATATTTATATATTTTTTTATAAGATTATGATCGGTGGTCCCATTCGCGGCTACGCTCGCGCTCGTGAATCTGCGACTGAGGCGGTGGCGGCATCTGCTGCCCGGGATAGCGCACACTACGGGAGTTCGACGACAACGACGATGCCATGCCAGGAGGTGGCGGTGGTCCACCAGTACCGCTGCTGTAGTGGCTCTGCTGCTGCTGTTGGTCATACTGCCCTGCACTGCTTCCCCCGCCCGGCGACCTAAACGAGCGTCCTGTGCCGGAGGAATACTGCTGCTGCACTCCCATTGGCGGAACCGGCAGTGTCATCTGCTGAGGCATCGGCATTGACATTGGCGGCGGAGCCAGCATGGCCAATGATCCACCACCATTATTGCGACCGTATGGGGATCTGGATCTCTGACGGTACCCACCGCTGCTGCTTCCCCTTGACCCACCACCGCCTCTCGGCCCACCGCGTCCTCCGCGTCCTCCACCGCCTCTCCCGCCATAATAATCGCCCCTCCCCCCGCCTCTCCCACCACCATACCCGCTGGCTCCGCCGCCGGAATACCTTCTGCCACTTCCCGCACCCTCATATCCACTGCCAGGCGGCGGATACACGACCGTGGGCAGATCAGGAAGCTCCTTACCTTCGTAGGCCGTTTTAATGGTTGCAATGATCTCCTGTGTCTTGTCGTGGTCGAGGCCGTGGTAGTATGCGGCCACTTGGTTTATGTGCTTCCACCCGGTGTTGTGCGCTTTACGCACGGATACGGAATCGTGCGTGAGGAAAATATCGCAATAGTCGCAGTAGTATTTCGGCATAATGATAGTTATAATAAAATTAAAACCCCCTTTTTTCTCGTTCTTGTTATCTATCTGTTTTTTTGTATTGTCTGGAGAGAGGGGATTTGTAATATAGTATAAAGTTGAAATACAAAAAGAAAAAAATTTCAAGAAAGATGAGTGGTAAGCATTACTTTTTTATCAAGCGCATAAATGAGGTTTAAAATATAAGAGGTTTCTGTTTTTGACTCTGTACTGTGGGAAAAAGTCACGCTTTTTATTTTATTTTATTTTTCATTTTTAAACTTGCTCTTGTTGAACTCGGCTTATAACCACTGTAACCAAAACAAACAAAAAAGAATGTTATATAGATGATGGGGGTATAGAAGAAGAAAAAAGATAAATAAAATTGTTGTAAAAATCAATGAAACTAAAGTTACATTTCCTCAATTAAAGTCAGTCTTGGACGAACCTTCCTGCTGGCGTTTCTCCACAAGCTTCTTTGCAGTCTCCTCCTCCAACGCACGCACATCCTCAATAGTCATTCCATACCACTCATCCGTATCACAGAACAGCTGGCGATGGAACATGGTAAAGACATTGCGCATATTGCTCTGTATCAGGGGCTCAACCGTCGACGTAATCCCCCACCACTTGAACTCCCCAGTGACAACCTTGTAGCAAGTCATTACGGGCTCGCAGTCCTTTTCCCACCCAGACTTGTTCAACGGCCCGCGCCCGGTTTTTTTCGACTTGTAAGTGAAGGGGTCTTCCGAAGGCTTGTAGGCAGCCTTGGAGATTGTCGAGTTGTCTGCTACGTCAATGTACTCTACTTGGCGCTGTGCCAGTTGGTCGAGACTCAGGTTCAGAGCGTTCTCCGTGGTGCCGCGGTCGGCCAGATGCATCGTTTCGGTGACCACGCGCATGTTCTCCTTCATGTACGGCGAAGTCACAACTATATTGCATTTGTCCGTTGTTGTGGGAACAAAAATGGTTTATACATGGATGCATAAAATGAGCACAGGTTGCAATTGTTTGAAGGGGGGTTTGTTGTTAGCTGTGTGTGTATGTGTTGGCTTTGGCTTTGGCTCTCTCTCTCTCTCTCGCAATATGCTTGCTGTCTAGGGAACGTTACCTGTCTTGCAGTGGGGGTATCCGTTCCAGGCCTCCTCGTGGAGGATCAGTGCATCCTTGGGGATCAGAGGACGCAGCAGAGCAGGGATACGGCTAACCAAAATAATAATAATAATGATAATAATAGTAAAAGTAGAATAAAATGAATACGTTATTTTTAGTACAACTATCCAACCAACCCTAATACACCAAGTCTTTTTATAGGGAACAATAGCAACATTCTCCACAATAAATAATACACAAACACAATAAAATTAGTGCTAAATTACTAAAAAATGCTTTTTTCTTCTTCAAATACTTTACCTGCCCAGGTGGTAAATCTTGTATGTGTACTGGCCCTTTCCCATTTCGTTGTCATAGGGTTCGTTCTTCAGCACCTCGACTCCTTCGCCGCCACCAGTCTCGTTCATGGACATTTTGGCCACGGCGTAGAGCTGGGCAATGCGGTACTCATCGACCGTGCAGTTGTTTCTAATTCTGTATTCCTTGACTATGGTCATCTCGATTGGTTTTGTAAAGAAAGTATTGGGTAAAAGAAATATGAAATAAAAGTAAGAAATAAAAAATAGTAGTTATAAATTTGAACAATTTGAAATTTGTCTTTTATTTTTAAGAGATGAGAAAAAGAACAAAAAAGAAAGTAAACTTGAATAAAATGAGAGATATAGTGAAGCGGGGAAGAGGCTGTTTTTTTGTGTGTTTGCTAAAAATAATAACACTAGCAAAAACGCTGTGTGAATAATCTGCTCGTCCATCCCATCCTATCCATCCGTTCTTTCCTTTTGTTTGGCTTTTTTCCCTCTCGATTTATCGATTGGGCTTCTTTATCGCAAAAAAACAAAAATAAATCCGCCAGCGGAAGAATAAAGGTCAGTATTTGGCTTTTTTCCCCCGATTTTTTGCCGTAAAATAAAAATTAAAACAAAATAAAAGGGGGCTCTATAAGCACTTTATCCAACAGAAAGCCCAAACCCAAATTAAGCTGTAATCAAAATTTTATAAGAACTACACCATAACAGATCCCCCCCCCCCCGCCCCTCCCAACCTGCGGGGAGTAACCTTGGAGTGTGCATTTAGGTGCCTTCCTTTTAACAAAACGTAAAGGTGAGTTGAAACCTTTCGCCAGAGTTAGGAAATTAAGTGCAATCATTTGGAAAGAGACTTGGCAGCAAGCAGCAGCACCAGCAGCCGAGTGCAAAGCCAAGGAGGCAACTCTCTGCTGCAGCTACTCATCCCCCGCAGGCAGCGCATGGATTGATTTATCCACATAACCTGTCTCTTCCCTCCGCTTGTCTATCCGTTTGCCTGATGCAAAAGCCCACGGGTCCAACATGATTAAAAACCAACTTGTTCATTCACATTACGTACGTTTAAAATCACAGAAAATTAAATTACACACGGGCCCCTGAGACACAAGCTTCACAAGCTTCACAAGCGCAGCACAGCCCAGAAGCAAATACAGCCCAACCCAGCCAAGCCAAGCCAAGCAACCACTGAATTCGAGCTTTGTTCCCTGCCAAACCACACCAACCCCCCTCTCAAATGATCAACCGGAGAGAAGGGGGCCCTTTGTAGCGATTTCGTAAAAACACACCGCCAACGAACCCCTTTGCAGCACGTTTTTTTCAAGCTGATTTATTAGAACCCTTTGCAACAACATCGTTTCTTGATACCCCCAATCACGCGCAATTGTGTTTTTAAGTATGTCAGTTTTTTGGGGGGAAGGTTACAAAGAAAACATGTATTTTTTGTCCTCGATAGATGATGTCACTGCAATTTGAGGTACATGTTCTGTATTTAAATAAAAAAGAAACAGAACTTCTCTTTACATAAAGGCAAATGCAATTATTTTTGGGAGTTGGCCTAGAGATTCGCGCGCATCATTTCCTATTATTTCAATTGCCAACTAAAGAAAATTTGGCTTTTTTGTGCGCGCTCGTAAAATCTTCTTTCACTTATAATAATAGCCAGAGCGCACCCTGCCGCCGTCTGCGCAATTCTTTTTTCTTTCTTTCCTCAACTCCATTTTTATTCATATTATTGCATTTGCATTTGCATTTTTCATCTTTCATTTTTCATTTTTCATTTTTCATTTTCCACACACAGCATATCATATCATATATCATTTCATTCCACTTCATACATTACATACCACTTCATTAAACTCCTTTTCAAATATTTCTAATTATTTACACACATTCACAAAAAACACATGTCCCTTTCCTCGCTTTTGAGCTCGGATGGCTCCAACAAAGACACATCCAACTCGGTTCGCACATTCCTGGCCTCCCTTATTATCAATTCTGGCGTTGCCCTTATAATAATTATGCTATTCTGCATTTTGCGGCCGCGCTTCAAGCGCGTCTACGCGCCACGCACATACGCGATTGAGCGCGGAAGGCGCTCCGACCCCATCGGCAACGGCTTCTTTGCTTGGATTCCCGCCGTACTGCGCGTACCCGACGAGGACATAATCCGGCGCTCTGGACTCGACACATATATGTTCCTGCGCAGCATCCGGTGCATGTTTATTATTTTTGCAGTCACCAGTATTTTGTCGGCCGCGTCTATTTTGCCCATAAATATTTTGGGCACTAACGGGTTGAAGGACCTCAGCTCGCTGTCGATTGGAAACGTGGACCCTATGAGTAGCCGGCTTTGGGCTCATGTTGGGTTTCTCGCGCTGCTTGTTAGTTGGACCGTATGGTGCATTATTGGGGAGCTGCGTATCTACACCCACCTGCGCATGTGGTGGCTGACACACCCCGATTACGCTGCAAGGGCCGCTGCCTCGACTGTTCTGATCACCGATGTGCCCAAGAGCCTGGTCAACAATGAAGCCCGGCTCGCCGAGACCTTTGACATGCTGCCCGGCGGCGTCCGCCAGGTATTTGTCAACCGTACATCAAAGGAGCTCGCCGACGTGGTCAACAAGCGCGACAAGTTGGCAAAAAGGCTCGAAATCCTCTTGACGCGCTACGCCGTTGAGTGCAGCAAGAAGTTTGCCGTGTCAACCCTGTCCGGCGACATGTACGTGCAGCCCAAGCGCCCGGTTATTCAAAGGGGGTGGATGCCTCTGTTTGGCAAAAAGGTCGAGACCTTTGAGTACTTGGCGGCTGAAATCGCCATGTGCAACCATTTCATTGCTCAGAGTATCAAGGACGTCAACGGGTTTAAGCGCGAGTCGTCGGCAATGGTCATGTTCAATAAGCAGATTGCCGCCCATATGGCCACGCAGGCCGTCATTGACTATAGGCCGTTTTCGATGAGCAGCGTGGCGGTTGACGTTAACCCAGAGGACGTCATTTGGTCCAACCTAAAGATTAGCCCGTGGAGTCGCCGCATTCGTGGGTACGTGTCATTTATCATTACCGTCGGGATCACTGTTCTGTGGACATTGCTGGCCGCCTTTGTGACCGGTCTGGTGCAGGCCAAGAACCTTGTCAAGCTGAAGCAATTCGAGTGGCTGAAGGGCAACGACATTGCTCTGGGGATTTTTAGCGGCGTTGTGCCGCCCGCGATCATTCTGGTGCTCATGTCGCTGTTGCCTGTTATACTGCGCCTGCTGCTGCGCCTCGAGGGCACCCCGCAGACCAGCCTTATTAACATGCGCCTCATCAACCGTCTGTTCTTTTTCCAAGTGTGGAACGTCTACCTGGTCAACATCTCGTCGTCGTCCATCTTGCTCATTCTTACAAACTCGATTAATAACCCAGGAACTATCATTAAGCACATCCAGGAGGACGTGCCAAAGTCAGCAACCGGCATTCTCGCATACGTGCTTTTGCTTTCGTTCACCAATGCGGCTCGCGAAATATTACAGGGCGTGCCGCTGGCCATGCGCTACTTGATTCCCAAGCTCTTTGCCAAGACACCGCGGGCGTTGTCTCAGGCCGAGGAGCCGT